GCACCCAGCCACATAACACTAAGTTGATTACAGTTAATTTCGCTAGCCGTAAAATCATCTTTTGAAAACCGGGTCAGTGAGTAATCTTGTGATTACGAATAGCCACTTTGTTCGTCAAAACCACAGCGGTCCACTGGGTACTTAGTTTAGGCGTTGCCTAGACTAGTTTGACCATTGCAGACACCGGTAGTAATTATCAAACTACGGAGAGGGAGTCAGTCGGCTCTTGCACTCGTTCGTAAGAAATCTCTTTCGCGCAGGTACGCAGCTGATGATAAATGCGCAGACACGATAAAGATGTTCGTAAAGTCTCTTCCCTCGTACGCACGCTAGCTAGGCATTGGTCGGCCCCCACATAAACAAGACTTCGTTTGAAAAGACATGGTAGAGTAAACGGCTCACAGTGTAGACTTCAGCTAATGAAAGCTCGTGTTTAGAGTTCAGGAAAATGACAGAAATCCACAATGACCTCAGTTTTTGCTGTGGGCGACCATGACTACAGGGCCACACAGGGAACGGAGCCTCGCCCACACCGGAGTGCTCCATCCAGTTAAAAAATTGTTTTAGGCATGAGTTAGGCCTTTTGAGCGAAGTCCCTCACAAGAGCGCTACGAAAACCGGTAAAAGAGATTTACGTACGATAATAAAGCTTGTTCGAGAGTTAGCCAACCGAGCACAACGAAAGATTTTTGCATGTCTAGGACAGAAACTGGCCGTATACTTAAAGTAGCAAGTGCCGACCTATATGGGCTACAAAACAGTGTTGATGTCCTTGTATAGCCATTCGACCTAGCACATAATTCCCAATGGATTTGTAGAAACCTTCCAGCAAGCTGTTCTGTAGCTTAGGGAGGAATTGGATTATTATACTATTAACAAGGATGTGTGAGGATCATCGATCAAAGCCCCGTGTGGGTCCAGTAGCGTCCTCAAACGGGGATGAAGTTGAAGTATAACCGTAAGTTCCACGTGAAGCAAAGATGACACGGGAAATTTCCCTTGCCGGGCAATTCCAATGGCCTGACAGTTAGGTAGCAACAGACATCCGTCACGGAAATTAAGTGGCGTTCATAAGAAACAAAAAAGGTCGAACAATTCAAACCAACCAAAAGTTGCTCATGAACTAACTTGGCCCAGAACACCCAATTTTGCCCGACTCAAATCCGTAGTCTGCATGGACAGAGAAGAGTCATGGGGCGAGGTCAGATAACGCGGTTCGCGCAACTTCGCGGAAGTGCCCAAAGGCTGGTAGGTGGGATCACTCATCGGTGAGGAATCTGAATGCCCTAGACCATGTGGTTGTGCGGAACTGGACAGAACGCTTGCAGCAGGTGCGGGGTCTTTTGTAGGCATATCAAAGTCCCCTGCATCAAGTGCCTGGCCAGATGGGAGATTTATTCCATTAAATCCGTCGGCTGAAGTGGAACTGCCACCAGATACGGTTCGTCCTCTTCGTCTTTGGCTCCCCTGACTAGAACGAGTAGCACCCTAGAGGAGATAGGAGAACGGATATCTACGTAAGAATAATTGTCTAGAGTAGCTGACTGCAACAGTTTGTTGAGATATTTGGCAGAATTACCAATACTTTTAATGATCGCTTATTTCGACTAATGGCCAGACTTAACTGAGCCTACGGGTTGTCCATGGTGAGGGATTTTGACCGAATGAGAACCCGGATAATCGAGTTCAGGGAGTCAACCGTTCTAAGTAACTGACTGCATAACTGGTGGTCGACTTCTAAATTGGAAACTACAATGTGTAAGGTAGTCGAGTGAAGAGTGATAATATTGTCAACAGAAGTAGCAATCTGCTGGCGGCGGGGTAATTCAATTCGCAAAAAGTGCAGTCGGGCGAGTGACGTACGGAAATGCGTTTAGGTGGAGACACGCGACCACTATCACTAGAGGTCCGATAACGCCAAGCACGCTCAGACTCATTGGTCGGGAGAATCGGTTCGTGACCGCCTTCGCGACAACGCTGAGAAGTAAGTGGTTTGTTCCAAGCATGTGCACTCGGATCCGTAACTAGATTCTCCGACCATGCGGTCGAACACCAAGAAGGGCCCGTGCCTTCCTCAGGGAATATGTCCTCCGTAGCGGGTTCCGAACTGCTGTTGTTGACAGAAGGGGTGGAGTTGGCCCCATAAAAGCCACAACTGGTGTTTACTCGGTTTCCGAAAGGAGTATTCTGGAGACCGACGGGACGCGAAGAGGCCTGGCTGAGGGAAGTGAACTGATTTTGTCCATGCGAATCCGGGACGGCGCTCTTCCAGCTGCTATAAAAAGGAAATGGTTTACTACACTTTTGAATAACTGTCAAGAGGTCTGGTGATAACTATGCAGGCTCGAAACAAGGCACTTTGAGAATTACGAATCAGAATACGCTCCGCGTTACAGAACCGGAAGTTTTGAAGAGTAACGAGAACGGAAGATAGGAAGGCTACAGGTGTCAAACTTTTAACGGATTATTATTAAGACACATCGTCTCATCCTTACAGTGAGCAGGACTTCTAGATTGCAACGCCTTCAAAAAAGTAGGAAGGCAAGTAGACCATAACCGACAACCTGCAGAATCAAGCGAGAGGGCGCTAATGAATTTGTACAAGCAAAACCAAACTGATTAAGACAATGGGGGAAGTTGCTCTGACGGATTGAACGATGCCAGACCGGCCAGTCTGACAGACCTCGTGCTGAAATATTCCAAGACAGGAGTAGTAAAAGACCATTAAAACACTGTCGTTCTTGATTGAAACGGAAATCTAGAGTGCATATCCAGTGGGATAACGCTGAAGATCGTCACGTGTGGGGGAGTCCCAGTATTGAGGACCTATTTGGTGCGATTATGACTGGAAGAGACGACTCGGAAACAAGACGAATTAAGTAGGGAAACGCACGAGTGTAGTCTGTATACCTAGAGAATGCGTCAGGGGGAAGACCGGAGTAAGAAGGATCATTAAAAGCCATCCGATGTCCAAGGAGATCCGGTGTCATGCCTTAATAAATAATAATCAGTCCTTCCAAAAAGAATTATCACCAGACATCCCACTGTTCGCGCCCGGGTTGCCGAAAGGCTCGCCTTCATCAACCTAAGAGTATAACTTTAGACGAGGGTCGTACACTAGGTACCTTTGTCTGGTAGGCGGAATGGGATAAGCTGTTACGATTATCCAACGGCATCCCGTCAGGAAAGTCGGAGGGACAGGTTCTGCAAAGATCAGGTATTTGCCCATAAAGCTGAAGCAAATCGGACTGACAGATGTGGGAATCTGGATAGAATACACAAGTTTTTCTCCAATTACCCTGAACGACAGATTCATGAATAGATGCTGGCCTAATCTTGTTATGGAGAACAGCGTCTGTAAATTGTGGCATTCTTTAGCGATATAAATCTCTCAGACAACTAATAGCGATTATTTGAGGTCCCCGAAGCCCGACAAAAACAACCAATCGCCGAGTCCTAATAGGCAAGACTATAGCTCTCAAAACCACCGGTTTAGTGGCCGTTAACATTCATTTAAACGAATTTTGGGTAAAATTTTGGATGTGTTTGAACCCTTACAGAGGTTTTAGTCTTTGGACCAACAGATTCTTTCAAAAATCGTATCAAATCTGAAGGCCTAAGTCTACGGTAAGTTTAGGGCTTGTTCTCATGTGTTTCTGGGTTAGAGATTGAGGCTGAAACCGTCACATTACACCAATGTGATAGTTGTAATGTGGCAGCGAGCTAGACGGAGTTCCTTCTAATCGTTTGGAAAAACTTTTTCCAGACTTCAGGGTTGAGCCAGTGAGACGGCGTGTTCATGAGGATGTTCAGTGCTACTTTCCGCGCAACCACTGACATTCTTGCATCACTCCCGTGTGTATGCATCCGTGCGTGACGTTTTCCTATAGTTTCCAACAGCGTCTCGTCCCCCATTGATTATTGTACAGAAGCCCACTCCTCTAACCACTGGTCAGAGGCGTGGCCTTCTAACCAACAGGTCGCGAGTTCGAGCCTCGGGTGTTTTGACCGTCTGTCAACCACCGAGAAGTGACCCCGAGGCTGACACCCGTCTGTTAAAGGAGCTAGGACGATTTGCCCTGCGGCCTGACGTCCTAATCATGGGCAACTTTAATGCACCGCTTATCGACTGGAGTTCACTATACGCGCGCGGCCCAGAACTAGCTTTTGACCGATGCCTCTTGGACAAGGCACTCAGGTCATTTCTCACTCAGCACGTCCTCTTTCCCATGAGGATGCGTGAGGGGCAGCAGTCAAACTGCTTGGACCTGGTGCTCACGAAATCGATGGACAGCATAGATGAGGTGCGATGTCTGCCTTCACTGGGTCGAAGCGATCACGTCGTACTTCAATGGGACTATTCAATCTTTTCCGTGCCTGAACATCCCACGAAAATTAGAAGAAATATTTGGCGTGGGGACATCGATCAAATGAAGGCCGAAATCACCAATACGGACTGGGAATCAGCGTTTTCCGGAAATATAGCGGAGGATTGGAAATGGTTCAGTGAATTACTGCATGTCCTCCTGACAAACAACTGCCCGCTCTCACGGAAGGGGCTAAACAATCGACCGCGGTGGCTGACCCAGGCGTTAAAAAAGGAAGTAAATAAAAAGCGGTGATTGTGGCAGAAATATCTTATTAATGGGAATCCTGTATCCATAAACGCATACAAAACACAGAGGAACTTAGTCAAGCGACTTACCCTCAGGACACGACAAAATTTTGAAAAAGACCTATTGAATCGTACTGTGGAAAATCCGAAATTATTCTACAGCTATATAAGAAGCAGCACACGAAACAGAGATCCAATCCCCCTCCTGAAGACAAGCGGAGGCGTAGAGATTAGTGAGGATGGAGAAAAAGCTGAGCACTTTTCACAATTTTTCAAGTCCATCTTTACTAGTGAAGGTGCAGTTACTCCTCCCGACAACGACTTCGATGAGGGTCTAACAATTGAGTTTGTATCGTTTAATGAAACGACGATTCGCAAAGAGCTAATGACGCTAAATGAGTCGAAATCACCAGGTCCAGACGACATACCGCCTAAGAAACTGAAGGAGCTCGCTGCCGAATTAGCCAAACCATTGTCCATGCTTTTTCAAGCCTCGTTCGAGGCCGGCTGCTTGCCCGCCGACTGGAAATCTGCGCGGATCACACCACTGTGTAAATGTGGCAGCAAGGTCTCTGCAAACAACTATAGACCAATTAGCCTCACCTCCATCTGCTGCAAAATCATGGAAAAAAATAATCAAGCGAGAGCTGATGCGCTTCCTAGAGCAGCATAATTTATTATCTGATGCGCAGCATGGGTTTCGTAGTAGTAGGTCTTGCGTGACTAACTTGCTCAGCTGTTTGGAACCTTGAACTCGGTCATTTGATCAAGGCGATGGGCTGAACGTGGTCCATATCGACTTTAAAAAGGCATTTGATAGCGTTCCACATCAGCGACTCCTGCACAAACGGAGCCGAACAGGCGTTAGGGGTAACCTCTTAAAATGGATTCAAAACATCCTATTAGACCGCTCTCAAACTGTCCATGTCGGTGGCCAGCAGTCGACGGAGGTTGCCGTTGAAAGCGGTGTTCCCCAAGGCTCAGCTCTTGGTCCCATTCTGTTCATTATTTACGTCAGCGACTGCGTGAATGAACTGGATTGTGGTGTCGCCATGTTTGCGGAGGACATTAAGCTCTGGAGCGTTATTCGAAATGCAGATGACGAACAGCATTTGCAGGCGAACCCAAACCGACTACAACAGTGGTCAAAGGCCTGGCGTCTGCCGTTCAATGAGAAAAAGTGCAATATTCTACGAGTCGGCAGAGCTCGCCCCCCGAACCATATGGCCTACTGTCTGCATGGTATACCACTGCAAGAAGTGGACTCGCAGAAGGACTTGGGAGTATAAATTACGACCCGGCTCAGACCCTCTCTGCACTGCACGAAGATAGCCAAGTCTGCAATGTCAATCCTCTACCTTGTCAAGCGGGATTTCTCCGCCTTTGATGAAGACTGCTTCGCTAAACTCTTTCGAACGTTTGCGCGGCCGCAACTGTAACTTGCTATTCAAGCTTAGACACCCTGGACCGCGAAGGATTTCGGCATCCTCGAAAGGGTTCAAAAGCGTGCAACGAAACTTGTGGCACGACGGGGTTCATTGCCATATACAATACGGTTAGGTAACCTTAATCTCTTTCCCTTCAGTTACAGGCAGTTACGGGGTGACCTGATACAAGCCTTCCGTATCATACACGGCCAGGACTGCAGCCCCGTACCGGGGACTTCAAGTTAGCAACCACCACAAACCTACGGGGCCATCCATTCAAACTACGTGTGACAGGGGCCATGCTGGACACTCGAAAGTTCTTTTTCTTTAACAGAGTGCTAGAAGCTTGGAACGCCCTGCCTCTGGATGTCGTTATGTCTGCTTCCGTCGAGGCCTTTAAGAGGAAGCTGGATTTGTGTAGCAGTGTCCACTAAATTACCACCAGAGCTCCCTAACCTTGACAAATCCCATTGTTATAATACTACTTGTTATATTTCAGTAGCAATTTAAATTGAAGTTATTATTGTGCCCAGCCCATCGCCTGCGCTTACTGACATGCACTTATGCAACTTTTGTCACCGGGTGTATTATTTATTTTCCTGCACTCGAAACGACCGCTGTACAACTGCTCGTGCCATTAACATTCGAGACAGTTTGTTTGTCTGTACAGAGCTGACGGTTTTCCGATTACTTGTTACCTTTATGTTACCTTTTCCAGTTTTCGAGATTTTGCAGTTGCTTGTAAACAAATAGGGAGTTCAAAGGTGGAGACCTACATTTCCCTCAATAAAACTGAACTGAACTGAACACTTCTGGGTTGGGTATGACTGGCTGACGATGGCTAATAAGCCAGAAATAGCCATTCCAGCCTCCCTTGTCTTTGTCGGTAATACCATTCTGCCTATATATATATATATATATATATATAAAACCAGGGAGACCGGAATGGCAATTTCTAGCTTATTGACCGTCGTCAGCCAGTCATACCCAACCCTGAAGTGTGAAACACCTGGTGTTCGAACTCGCGACCTCTTTATTAGAATTCCAACGCGTCTAACCACTGGGCCACGGTGAGCGCCCCTTTAGCATTGTATATTCCAGATTGAAACCGACAGGATGACAGACCCGTAACCCAATGGTTAGAGGCGTTGGGCTTCTAGCTAACAGGTCACGATTTCGAGTCCCAGGTTTTCCACACTTTGGGGTTGTGCATAACTGGCTGACGACGACTAATTAGCCGGAAACGGTCATTCCAGTCTCCCTTGACTGTGTCGGCCATAACATTGTATCTATTAGGCCACATTCACGTCCACGAAATCCTCAGCTGGACTACCACCGGCTGCGGCGCACTGTACATGACTTAAGGAGCCGAAGTCCTTTTCAGTAGTATCACGCAAAGAAAAGAAGACATTAAAAACATTATAAAATGACAAAAGCATTGTCATACTTCCTACAGACAAAGGGGGATCAACTGCAATATTAAACAAAGCAGACTACAACGAAAAGATATTGCCATCATTAAAGGATAGATCAACCTGTAAACCTCTTACCACGGAGCCTACTAAAGCGCAGCGTATGGCCATTAGAAAAGGCCTAAAACGTCTTACAGGAGAGAAGTAAATGTCAGAAGATATTTTCAACTCATTACGACAAACCGAACCAGCCACTGCTAAGATCTATGGACTACCTAAGATTCACAAACCTGAGGTACCACTGCGACCGATAGTATCGTTAATCAGTGCACCTAATTACATGATTTCTAACTGGCTATTCCACAAACTCTACCTGTTGACAAAGGATCGTGAAACATGAATCCTATGGGATCACCCATCTCTGTTTTTTCGTAGAAGTCACCATGCAGGATTTAGAGGCTATCGCCTTATTATTAGCTAACCCCAAATTATGGTGTTATTATGTTTCTAACACGTTTGTCATTGTTAAAAGTGATCACCTGGAAATACTCCAAAACATTATTAAATCAGCACTTCCAGGAATCACATTCACACGCGAGAAAGAGGCGGACGACAAACAACCGTGTCTTGATGTCCGCGTACAGAGAAAGCCTGACGGTACATTTCCACTTCGGTTTACCTCAAGAAAACCTGAACGGAAGTACTTTTGCATTACGCGAGCAATCACCCGATCTCTCACAAACGGGGTGCCGTGAACGGCCTCCTGAACCGAGTAAGAACTCACTGCTCCGACAACGAAACCTGTCAACTAAAACTGAGTTATTTGTTCACACTGTTTTCCCAGAATGGGTGTCTTAGAGGTTTTGTACATCCATGCATGAGATGACAGGAGTTAATAAAAAATAAAAAGGGCTAGGTTGTTCCGATCAGGCGCTCGAACCGAAAAACTGTCGAACAATTCCGTACAGAAAGAATGTGTCCGAATAATAATTATAATAATAATCATTTTATTTAATGCCAGTGTACGGACTGACAGTGCCCAAGGGGCGCTACAATAAACCTATTCTATTCTATTCTATTGTCAGGGAAGCGTTAAACACAAATCCGGCCAGCAGTGAAAAAACTCCTGTCGAAAAGGAATGAAAATAAAGTTGACGGTGTTTTTTATGGTTTGAAGGGTTCAGGAGAAAAAAACTGCTGGCGACAAATATTCGACCGTCAAGAAGGAAGGGATTGCACGGTATCGGAGATTATCAGACGCCAATTCCTTTCATGAGGTTGGAGATAGTTGAAATAGAAGCGCCGAAGAACATCTGTCGCTGTTGGCCAAATAAATTTTCTCTGGTGAGACCGGCCATAGTGATCAGAGACCACAAACGCCATCGCTACGGCAGAGTCAATCAGTTGATTCAGCACCCAAAATTTGTGGGAGCTTTTCTAAATGCAAAAATCGAGTAATAGTTCTCTTAAATAAAGGATAATTTTGCAGAGTTTTCACACTCATGGGTAGTTTATTCCAAATAGCAATTGCAATTACAGAAAAGAACCGACGATATTTAACAGTACGTGCCAGAGGCAGAAATAAAAAGTCCCCACGTTGACTGTTACGTCGTGAGTGGACATGGTGTCTTAAAGAGGTGAGTGGGTTAAATGTGTGATTATATAAGAGTTTAGATAGCAAAAATAGTCCCTTTTGTAATCTACGGAACCATAAAGGATCAAGGCCCGTAAGCCGGCAACGTTCTTGGTAAGACAAATGCCGGTGTTCTGGGGTAAAAACTCTCTTGGTAAAAAATGTTTTGAACGGATTCTACATTCTTCCGCTCAGTAGCATGCATGAGGCTTAATAAAAACTAACAGTATTCTAGGCCAGGTCTAACGTACATGTTGTAAAGGTCCATTCTAATGTCCCTATTTTTGAAGTTTCGGAGGATAAACCCGGTCGTTCTACGTGCTTTGGAGTCTATCAAGGCTCAGTGCTCCGAGAGATTGAGACTCTTGGAGTATAATACACCCAGATCCTTAATAATCCCAGGCACATGTATGGCGTGGCCATCAATGCTTATTTGAGGTTGGCGGTCGTCGCCAACCACCGTGACTGAGCGCTTATGCCAAGAAAGAGAAAGGCGCCATGTGCGGCACCACTGGGCGAAAGCCTGTAGATCGCTCTTTAGGAGCTCAAGCACGATGTCATTCTCTGCCGGCTTATATTGATATGCAACTTTAAGAAAGGCTTACCATTCGGAAACAAATCGGGTGCATCATTAACGAAAAGGCAAAATAAGAGCGGGCCGAGTACACTACCCTGAATGACTCCACCTCACACGTGTGGGGTTGGAGATAGTATTGGAAATCTTAACACGTTGTGTACGAGAACCCAGGTAAGAGGATATAAAATTCAGAATTTTACCACCCATTTGGAGAGAGGAAAATTAGGAGAGAAGCGGAACATGTTCAAAACGATCAAAAGCCCTTCTGAAATCGAAATATACTGTGTAAATGTAAAACCGTTTTCTATAGATTGGAGAACATAGTCAAAGTAAGAAAGTTGACAGGTGTCACAAGATCGAGACTTGAGGAATGCATGCTGAGCAGCACTCAGCAAGTTATTCACATCATCTTCTCTTTGATCAATGTCTCTAAGATCTTCGAAACTGCGGGGAGGGTGCTTATTGGCCGAAAGTCATCAAATGATGTAGATTTGCCGTGCTTAGGAACGGGCAAAATGTGTGATTCCTTCCATAAGGTAGGATAAGTTTCACTTTCAAGAGCAAGATTAAATATCTTGCATAAGAGGGATGGGAAGATCGTGTTTGTATCGGCTTTTAAAATGCTTACTGGGACACCATCAGGGCCTGGACTATAAGATTGACGAAAACGCCGAATCGCAACAGTCACATCCCACAGAGTGAAAGTTATAGTTTCCAGAACTGCCCTGGTAAATGGCTGGATGGTCGGAAGCGGAGTGGTCGAGTCTTCAATGAACGTTTTGGACAGAAAATCATTGAAGCTATCAGCGGTTAACTGGGCATCAACTGTGGGATTTCCGAGAGCGTCTCGGAGGATGGGATGCTGCATCTTTCTATGAGTTCGTATTTTTCTAGAGAAAACTTTCGAGACATTTAACAAATGATTTTCGGTAAACTGGACCTCTTCGGCTAGCTGTTTTTCTTCAGACAATCTCTTAGCCCGCTCAAAAATATCACAAATCAAGGGCAGGGCAAAAACGTCGTTCTGAAGATGGAATCGACGATAGAGTCTGCGCAATCTGCGACGAAAAGGTAAGGGTACTCTGGCATATTCATTAAGAAGATCCGTTCGAAGTGGTGTGGCCAACAAGACTATGTTTTCCAAATCAGAATTCAGGTAAGACGGGCTGGATTGGACAACCTTTACCGCTGTGGAAGTACGTATACAAAGCTCTACAAACATTCGCCGCGAGCGCGCTCT